TTCATTACTTAATTGTTACTATACTTTCAATTGTCAATTGTTATGGTAAAAATGTGGAAACCCTTATGTAGAAATATCACTGCATACCTTGACTGACACCGACATCAAAGTAGTAATAATTGTACAATATAGACATAACAGTTAAATAAGGTAGGTTTACTATTTTCAAGTAATTATTTCGTTACTTTTTAGTGTACTGTTTTTTTGAGAATATTTTGTTTTGTTTTTAGTGCATTTTGTTTTGTTTTTAGTGTATTTTGTTTGGAAGTCGGTTTTGTTTTTTTATTAAAAAGTTTATTTTTTAACTTCTGGTTGTTATTGTGCAAGAGTGCATAGTATTCATAAATTAAAATGTTTCTATAAGAAAAAAAAATGTATTTTGCTATACATTTCCTACAATAGGCAAGCCAAAATGTGTGTATCTGTGTAAATACGAGGGAAAGTTAGATTCATCTTAGATTGGGATATTTTCTTAATAATAAGTTTCAGATCTCTATGTGACGTGTCTATTCTTAGTTGTAGTTATCACGATGGATGTGTTTTTATTTTATTTTCTTAATAACTTTGTGACGTCATAACCCAATTTATGTAGTTAGTAATCGTTGTTTTTTCGCTATGTTTTGGCATTTAAATGAACTTCGAGATTATGCTTGTGGTTACTAATTTCCGTTTATATCATGTTATCTTTTTGAGAAACAGACTTTAGATTGTAAATGTTCTACATAAATCATTGCAATACAAAATTTGCATCTATTTTATCTTCTGTCAGAGAATATAGAGTACTATCCTGCATTGAAGCATTAATAAATAATTTATTTTGCATCTTGTTCAATCCCTTGCGTGTTTCTTTTTGTTTTATCCTCTTTTAAAGTAATTTAATGTGTAATTTTACCCGTTCTTCATACTTGACTATTACTGTCGTTAAATAGATCTTATCGTATGATTTAAATGAATCAATTCTGTAAGCGTAAGTCGTAAGCCTTCGATATAACCTATGCGGTGTCTACGACCCAAAGGACGCCCTTAGCACGTGACGAGGTCTGGTGTATGCCCTTTCCATAGTATATTTTTATGGTTATTGTGACATTGTTCTCGATTGTTTTCCTCCAATGCGATTTTATTACTCAAATCCGATTAGCAAACGTAGATTAAGAAAGATGAATATATTTAGCGTCTCTGTAATTTGTTCTCTGTTAAAAATGAGCTTCTATTTTATGGTAATTGCAATAAATTTTAAATTATGGTTATAAGTAAAAGCATAACTATACTAGATATTTGAATATAGAAGTTTATTAATACTTTTATATGTCTTTATCATCGTGTGGTAATTTTATTTCGCAAATAAATATCATGACGCTGATAGAATCTTTAAAGATAAGAACCTCAAGAGAGTTTCCTCAATGTACTGCAGTTACTTGTTATAATTACGGAACATTTCTATAAATAATTGTAATCGCCGCACAATCAATAGCTTATCATCACGAACACTATAAAAAACTTCCATCGATTCTATTGTAAGTTGCTCTCAGAACAACAATATAAAGTCTTATATCTACTAATATTTTATACAATTCTTTTATTTGCGTCTACTGTTTTTTTTTAAATAACTAAGGTTAAGTTCACATTTTTTCTGCCAATTGATAAAAAACTCGAAGCCTATTTTAAAGTACGTTTTGTTTTAACCAATGCATGATATGGTAGCATGACTCCAGCAATTTTCTAAAAGACAAATTCGCATCGGCCTCGCGTGAACGTTCGGAATTTTATGCAACACTCGTTGGTATTGTTGGCTGGTGTTGAAACCGCACAGTCCTAGCGAGGATTTTGTTTTGCTCCCAATTTTACATATTGCCACGACCTTGAATAAATTGTTACTAAATAGTGATGGCTGACGTAATGAATTACCCAAAGAACCATATGATATCTGATGTAATAAAACGTCTATATTGATCCAAGGATTTTTTATAGGTTTGACCAACTTTATCTTTAAAAGTTAACGAAAAATACACAATACTACCATACGTAGGTGAAAGCAATTATGTGTTACGTTATCTCATTTTCGCTAACATTATTGGATAATCTCAATGTTGAAACTTGTAAGTTATTAATTTGTTTGCGGGTTTGTCGCGTTTGAAGTAGCTACTACAATGAGTCGGCCCTCTTGTCGCGGTGAGCGTGCGTCGATTGAATGCTAAACACTCTACCATTCGTAGTTGTTGAGTCACAGCCCCGCTTTCTGGACTCGAAGAAAGCTTCCTCCATTGTACATCTCACATGATATTGATACTGCGACAAATATAAAATAACTATTGTCAAAACTAGACACAATCTTATAGGAACTGATACCATGGAGCAAGTTTCTTTTAATGTAGATTTTTTGATGTAAATTATTAAGATATTTTATAACATTAATGACGTATTTTCTCGAAGATTGGTCAGATTTTTTTAAAGAATTCCCGTGCATCTTGGTACCTAACCAAAACCGTTATGATAGACAAAGAGTTGATTACACAAACAACTTTGTTTTTATTATGTTGATGATTGAAATAAAATATTGACAAGACAGACTAGAAACCGCAAACTAATAAGGATTCAACCAACGTGCATCCAATATGTATGACAAATTGTCGTGTGGAGTCTCATTGTTTAGAAATGCATTTATATTTTAAAACTCTAAGATATTAGCAACTGTATTTGACCTATATGCTACATTTTATAAAGTCCAATACCATGATGTCAATATCTCAATTACTTCTATTGTTCTTAGAACATTACATTCCAGTGTACAAATTTTAGAGGGGGGATCTCTTTGTTCTATTCGTCACCAATTGTGAATCGTAAACCAAATCATTTGTATCTTGTTTATCGTGAATGTTCCAACACTATAACGTTACAACGCAAGAAAAAACTTTGAAAATCACCGAAATGACACGTTCAAGTGTGAATAATTCGTTTAGTTTACAATTTACTGTATGATCATGTGTCGCAATTTGTCGGTAACATCTGAGTAAAAACAGTGTTTTGTTTTCTTCCAGATGGTATTTCCGCAAGATAAAGCGGATCGAGGCAGAGAAGAAATTGCTTCTGCCGGAGAACGAACATGGTGCCTTCCTCATCAGAGACTCCGAGAGTCGACACAACGATTTCTCACTCTCAGGTAAATAAACCTCCCATATAAATAACACCCTGGGTGACCAAATATATCAATATCATTAAAATTTGCATAAGAACCAAAGTAATCTTAAGTTAGAGGTTATTGTACTGCTCGTTGGTCCCGTTCTTAAAATAGATGTAAAAAAATAACTTTAACAATTGTTTAAATTAGATAAAACTTATTATTTAATTGGTTGTATTTACAAGAATATCTTCCTGAATCAAATATTTATTTTGTTTAATTTGCAAATCCTTTATTGTATCTACGATACATTTACCGTTGAGTTAAAAAAGTCAAGCAACAGGAAAGGGATAAAAGTAACTACGTGACCAAAGTAGAGGGCGATGGCTGGTTACAAATAAAATTGTGCTAACTATTCTAGTAGAGAACAAGTCTATGGGCCGCCTCGGAGATCCGATGCCGATGGTAAAACCGGTTGACGTTTTTCTAAGACCCTTGAATAGGCGCCAGCGCCGTGGGAACAAGACTATGCTGCTAAGCGATAGCTCCAATAGATTACTTACTATCTCATAACTATTACTCTTTATTTATTCAGTCTGGTACCGTAACACTCTATTTATAAAGTGCTCTGTGCTGTCTTATTTTGCGTACTGATAGTTCTAAAAATAACATACGTGATTGCAATGCACTAGGAACGAGTTTATGCAGCAGCTACGTATTAACTAGAAAGAAAGCTAACTTGAGACTTTGGAATAACAAATTGTCAGAGGTAGATGTTTGTATTAAAACAATGGAAAACTAGATTCTAGCGACTATAGTCTGATTAAATTTGTACGAAAATCATACTTCATACTAATATTATAAATGCGAAAGTTTAGATGGATGGATGTTTGTTAGAGATTGTAGCCTAAACTGCTGGACGGATCTTGATGAAATTCGGCATATATGTATAGGATAGTTTGGAAGAACACATAGGTTACTTACTTTTGTTTTTTATTCCACGCAGACGGAGTCGCGTGGGCGTCGAGGGCGAATCCTAGTTTTTTTATATATTTTTGTAAAATTTACTGATCTCAAATAAAATTACGTTATGATTCTCAGAATATGTCGCTCTTTACAAAGATCTTTAATATATCAAATGACTATATTTATTTTTACTCTTCTATCCGTATAGATTACGGCTTGCAGTTATTGTTGCATAACATAATTATATGAATTGCAATTATCATTCTTTGTACATAAGCCAATCAAATGTCAATATAATAAAATTACTAGAACTTACTCATCGAAATTCTCGTAACGTGATTAAAAATCAATGACTTATGAGAAATGAACAATTAAAATGTGTTATGTCATTTTACCTTGTATGTTTTGCTCTAAATGTCAAAATAACATCAGGTGTACGACAATAATAAACAAATTTGTGAGTTTTCACAGTCGAGTCTTCAAATATTATACCACTATCCCTCTCTTTTCCCTAAAAAAGACGGAGATAACAAACATGTTTTTGTACAATTATTTCAGTAATGTAAATCTACGGTCATATGCCACTTCTTTATATGTTTTACAATATATCAAGCGGTCACTGACGTTAACTATAATGAAACAATGTGGTCCATTACAAGTATTTGAATTTTATTGGGATTCAAATATATTAGTAATCGTAAAGTTTCTCGATACGCTTATACATGTATTTAACTTTGAATATTTGATTTAGTGCAATATTAAAAGGCTAACGGACTACAGACCGTTCACCGAGAGTCGGCAATTAAACAGCGTATGAATGACAATAGGACATCCATAAATCTCATATCGGCTTTCCCAATGAATGAAAGTAAAGTTTCTAAAATTATATCGGCCCATCGCAATGAAAGCATAACAAAATTCAGTCAAAATTGCATTCAACGATACACATAGAAAGAGTTTAAACGAGTATTCGATCTATTTGAATAAAATATATATTGGTTTTATAATCTGTACTTTAAAAAGTGGAGATTATTCCAGGAAAAGATTCTAATATTTACAAAAGAACCTCGATGTTCGACTATTTCGCTAAATTTTTCAGCGATTTAAAATATTTTATAGTTATGCAAATAATCTCGGCAGTTGACGTATATTTGTCTTCTCAGTAAAGGAATTGGCAAATCATGTATGATAGTTATACATATCGTTTCCAAGCAGTTTACGTCATTAGACGTACTTCATGGTTTCCTTTGAAATTAATTTAAAGTTATTTCTAGTTTAGCAGGAAAAAATGTAACATGTTGGTTTGTATAAACTGAGCTTCGGTTATTGGTTAATCGCCATTCAATTTAATAAACCACACAGGTCTTGATGGATAGCTTATTAATATTGAAACTTAGTATTTATATCGATAATTTGATCGATTGATCGATAATGAATGAAATGAAATGACATTTAATCCTTAGCAACACAACACAATCAGAAGTAACAACAGAAAAACAAACATGACGTAGATCAGAGAATACTATTTCTTAATATTATACTACACTCATTAATCATAATTTAGGGCCTGTCCCACCGCTGCCTGATTAGGCTCAGATAGCTTTAAACAAACGTCACTGTCAGATAAGGTAACAAAATCCGATATTTCCATATTTTATAAGTTTGATTGTGATCTATACATATAATTTATAATTTAGTGGGACAGGCCCTTTTTTTAAATGTTTACGTACATCTTTGTTGACGTTTTCCCTGTATGGAAATAGTGCGTCTATGTAATATAGGAATTACGTCCAAGACAAATGTCTGTTCACTCATTTTCCTTCGTGTGTTTGCCTTTGAAGTTACAATGAATACACTTTTATGTCTCTCCCTTTATTTGGAACAATATAGTATTGAGAGTTCAAGTTGTTAAACTGTTAAGATGTTGATCTATTCATTTGTTTATGAGAAAAAAATATTTCTATATTAAATATAGGAAAAAGTCTGCAACAGTCTTTGTAACTTTTTTTTATCTTTAATAGTATAGCTTGGGTACTCTATATAGAAAGACTCGATCTTTGATTCCAAGTTTTATAAGATCTAACTGTTAATATTCATGTTGAACATTAGTGGTAACAGAATACTTCTTTTTACACCGGACGTTAGCAGAAATGTAAAAACCGTGTTTCCAGTTCTCTCAGTAATCATTCATAATGACGCTAGCATTGTCCTTATTGTCTCAAGCGCCGATATGTTTATGCATATCCGTTTGTCACTTCTAAACAAATGTTGCGTTTATTTTAATTCACATATTTCTTGTTTTAAATTATTTATAACTAACTGCCTTTGATTGTCTACGCGAACTACGCTTCTCTTAAGGTAAACCAATAGGGTTGTCAACTGTATTAAAATTACTCTAATACGAATTACTTTAGGACCAAAATAAAAATTGTTTATACAGATTTATTTTCTAGTTGTGTGTCTTTTACGAGTTCAATATTATTCATGTAGACACACAAAGTATATGTAACTAAAAGAATTGTCAATTTGAATATGTATATTTGATTATCATTGTATTTGTTCAAGTCTATCTAGGCACATGTCCTCAATTCAGGTGTTGGTTTGCTTGGATAGCATTTTAACACAAAATTTCGTTATTTTATACCTCATTGCATTTACCATTTTTTATGTAACTAACAACTTGTATGTAAAGTATACAGAATATTTATTAACTTAAACATTTAAATATGACCTCTAACTATTTTTTGTGTAATCTAATGCCTACATATATGGTACATAACATACTCTTATTACTTATTTTATCTATACTATTATAATAAAGCGTAAACACACACTTCTTTGTTGCCTAAGATGTCAGCAATTACAGCATATTTTTAAATAATTCTTTTTTTTATTAAGAAGCCCTACACTTACTTCACGCTTTAGGCTATATATTTTCATGCTATTATACTTAGTTAGTAAATAAATTTGATAAAACCCTAATGAGGGAAAGACACCATAAGTTGCTGTCAACATCAAGGAATCAGGATTGCCATGGATTGTCATCATGTCATTTTGACATTAGCTATTGAAAATTTCACAATAAAATATTTTTTTCATTATTTCATGCGAATGAAGCCGCACTAGAACAGCTAGTTTTTTTTTATAAAGGTCCTTCACTGTTCAATGTTATACAAGGGAGTAGATAGTTCTCTTGCTATCGCACAATTGTTTTATGGGCAATCTTAAAATATAGATCGACAGGGTGTAATACATTTGTCTGATCTAAGGGTGATATAAAGGACTCTCTATGTTAAGGGTTCGGTTCCTTTTGTTATCGTTCCATCCTGCAACTCTATGTGTTTTAAAAGATTTATTTTCACAACCCTAGCCTTATAAGTAAGATCGTATGGTATTTAACCGTTATAAACAATTACTTACACGCAGCTTTATATACTAATGTATGTATTAAATCATTCAGCACGTGGCTTGCCACTCGTCTAATGATTCAGTATGTTATTATTTAATTCCCAGTGAAATTAAAAAAAAATATAAAAGATGAACGCTTGTGAGGACTGGCTAGAGTCGAATTTTGTAGTGAGTGTTCCAAAATAAAAACAAAACCATTCGGCAAAAGGCTCGTTGTCGTTTTGCTGTGTAATTTTTCGTAAGAATCCGAAAAAAACTGGATTCTCTTTGGTACACAAAAGCCAGTCAAATTCCCTACCGTTAGAGCGAATGTTCGAGAATTTTTTTTCTATAGTCAATTTTTAAACTACCATGATTTTTTTAGTCAGTAATAGGATGAATAATGTTTAGTATCGATTTAGAATCAAAGTGTGGAATACCCGGTTACGATGACGCAGACTTTGCTATAGTTTATTGACTATGAAATAACTGGGTTTTGTTTTGATAAATTTATTTCTACACTAACGTAGTATTCAAATGTCAATACAATTTATAGAAGAAATGTACCGTTTGTGTGAGAGAAGCAGT